GCCACAGTCACACAGACAGGCCGCCTGCCCTCGGAGGGCTGCTTCCTGAGCAGAGTCCATTCCCAACACTCCCAGCAGCCGGTGGGACAGGTGAGCCCACGTTCCTGGCCACAGCGATGGCACGTGGGGCCTTGGCAGGACTGTTCCCTGCACGTGGTGCTCTGGCCAGAGCAGCCCATTTCACAGAGCACCCCTCAGCTTGGCGGGAAAAGATGCAGACAAGGGTCCTTCCCCCAATAGCTCATTCTGTCTCAAGTTCAGAGTGGGATGAAGAGGATCACCTGGAAAAATGTCGTTTTAATTTCAAATCATGTTTACGCCCGTTTCATCTGACCGAGCTTTGAAAGCAAAGGCAATCTTTATCATTGAGGTCTTTAAGCTAAACTGATGTGATGACGTCCAATGTAACCAGATGCTTCTAAAAGCCAATTTTCACAATGACATCAGCCCCGAATGAAAACCCTTCTTTCTGGCTGCTAATGAATGATTAGCACACTGTCCCCATGGGGCATGGCCAAGACCAGCTCCTCAGGGCTCCACCATCACCCTCAGTCCCCTGGGCCTCGCTCCCAGAGCAGCCGGCCTCACTCAGCGGTCTCCGTCCTCAGCGATCAGGTGAGAGCTGGTCAGTCACCCCCTCCTCTGTGGGCACGTGACCTGTCTGGGCCAATGCAGCTTGAGGTGGAAGCTGCCGGCAGTGGTCCCTGGAGGTGTCCTGTTCCACAGGGGACCAGGGAGGCCTCTGCTCCGCTGTGGGCGGGGCGCAGAAGTGGAGGCGGCAGACTGCCCTGCACGAGCAAGGCGTGGTGCGTAAGACGCAGCCCAAGACCCCTCCTTTCCCACGGTCTCAGTTCCCCGTGGTCATCCATGGTCCCCAATGTTACATGAAAAATTCCAGAATGAACAGGGCCTGAGTTTTAAGTTGCGCACCGTTCTGAGTATCACGGTGCAGCCTGGCACCTCCAGCCTGTCCCGCTGGGACGTGAGTCCCCCTCGTCCAGCGCCCACGCTGAGGGCGGGCTGGTGCTCCCTGACCCCTCCTTACTTAGCGATGGCCCGAGCCGCAGGGCACTGCTCTCACGTAGGTTCCCGTCACGGCTGTTTATTGCCAGTCACTGTGAGCATCTTCCTGTGCCTGACTGACAAGCTAACCGGCCCCTAGGCCTGCATGTGAGGGAAACAGAGCCTCGTACTAGCTGTACTGGCCGGGGCGGCCCCCTCGGAACACGCCCTCGAGGATAAAGGGGACAACTAGCTGCATCTGGTCTCTGCCCCACCCTGGCAGAGCTCCTACAACCCTGGGGACTCTCAGGGGACAGCACCCTTTGCCTCATAGCCGCCCCTTTCACCCAAATGTGAGGCTGTGCAACCAGGGGTTGGGGGTCCCCAGGCAACTCCAGGTGCTGAGGGGTTGGCACTCCCAGCTCTGCCCCCACCTCCAGGGGGAGAGAGGAGCTGGAGGCTGTCGATCACCAACAGCCAGTGACGTAATCAAGCAGCAGAACCTCACAGAACAGGTAAACAGCACAGGTGCTAGAGGGTGGGACTCTGAGCAGGCGGGCACCTGCCCCACCCCTGCCCAGTGCCTCCCGCCCGAGCTCTGGCTGCAGCCTTCAGCCTTCCCAGTAAACCAGCCACCAGAAGCCAGCACTTTCTGAGTTGTCTGAGTTGTTTAGCGAATTATTAAAAAACCAGCCACCAGAAGCCAGCACTTTCTGAGTTGTCTAGCGAATTATTAAATTGGGGGGATGAGGGAACCCCTGAATCTGTAGGCAGACAGAACTGCGGGTCACCTGGGGACCCGATGCTCATGACTGGAGTCGAAAGGGGCAGCCCCTGTGCCTGCGGGGTCTGTGCTGATTCGGGAGTTAGTGTGAGAACAGAAGGGAACGGCCGGGTGTCAGAGGCGGGAGGATGGTGCTGGGAACACGGCACTGGGGTGACAGGAGGAGAGCGCCACCCCGGGCCTGGGGCAACCACGTAGCTGTTGCCTCCGAACTTCCTGTCGGGAAGGAGACAAACCTCCCTCTGGGCTGCGGCTGTTCACAGACAAAGGCCTGGCTGCTCTGTGGTCTCCGTGGACCTTCCCTGAGTGCACAGGCCACACACACAGACACATGACCCCAGGACCCAGCTCCGCACCAAGGGGTCGCTCAGAGCCCACACTTCTGATCCCACACAGCCTTGCACAGACCCCACGCCCAGGGAGCCAGCCCACCGGGTGGCCAGCCCACCAGGGAGCCAGCCCACCGGGTGGCCAGCCCACCAGGGAGCCAGCCCACAGGGGAGCCAGCCCACAGGGAGCCAGCCCATAGGGGAGCCAGCCCACAGGGGAGCCAGCCCACAGGGAGCCAGCCCACAGGGAGCCAGCCCCAGGGCAGGCAGTGGCGACTGGCACGGTGAAGGATGACACGCCGCCCACCTCAGCGGAGTCGGGCAGACACGAGGCACTGTGCACCCAGCTCCCGCTCACTCAGGCCAAAGCCAACTGGACAGTGAAGTGTGCACAGCTGTCCCTGCAGGCCAGGGCCCTCGCTCACCAACCCCACCCAAGCCGGCGCCCAGGCCTACCTGCTGGTGATGGAGCCATTCCTGTCCTTCAGAGCCAGCTCCCGCTGCTGCAGCTCCACGATGAACCGGGAGAGGTCTTCCGGGGACCTGCGGGTCAGAACACACTCAGCACCGGACGACTCGGACCCGGGATGCGTTCCATCCTGGGCGCACCCCCCACCTCGCCTCTAACTGTGGCCTGCCACTGCCCGCGTCACCTCAGGTGAGCGACTTCATACACCGTGGCTTCTTCGCCTGTGAAAACAGGGCCGCTGAGCAGAGGGCATGCCACGCGGTCTGAAGCGCAGAAGCACCGCCGGCCCGGCCCAGAGGAGGCGCTC